TGCAGTTTCTTGAAGTCACATTACCAAGAAGTCACGCAAGCACGACATGGGTGAGGTCTGCTTCCAGCTTTTTTTCGTATTTTTCTTTTTCTTTATCATAATTTTAGATTATTATTATTTTTTTAGATTAGATAAAATTTATTTTTAGACTAATTTTCTATACGTTTCTCCTCCGCGATTCTACCCATTTCACCCCCACCCCCCCCTTTTACTCTATGCTGAGATGTGTCAGTTCCTGCTGGTGTTGCAAACGCGAGCGCTCCCCCCGTTGCAGCGCCTTGCAAGGAAATCAAGGAGACAGCGGAAGGGGGGAGCCAGGGACTGCATCTGTCTATCCATGTGTCTGTCTGTCTGTCTATACGTATATCTATCTGTCTGTTTATCTATTTATATGCCTATCTATATATATATTTGTCTGTCTGTCTGTCTGTCTATTTATCTGTCTACTTATCTATATCTATCTATTTATCTGTCTACTTATCTATGTCTATCTATTTATCTGTCTACTTATCTATGTCTACCTGTCTATCTGTTAATCTACTTGTCTATCTATCTAGCCGGAAACCTACATATATATATATATATATATATATATATATATATATATATATATATATATATATATATATACATATATATATATATATATATAAATATATATATATATATATATATATATATATATAAATATATATATATATATATATATATATATATATATATATATATATATATATATATATATATATATATATATATATATATATATATGTACATGTATATATATACATATATATACACATGCATATAGATGCTTGTATGTGTCTGTGTGTCTATCCTTCAATATACTTTGAATATACAGACATATACATCTCATCCCGAGGGAAATCGGGCGCGTGCTACCCCTCCCCCCCATTCTCCCACCACACTTCAAAGCCCCCCACCCCCCACCCCCACCCTCCGCCCCCCAAGCGGGTCCGCAACGACATCTTACACATTTTCTAAGAAAGCCGCCGTTACCCGAGTCATTAATCTCGTCCCACCAAGTCGTGGGCGAGAGAAAACATGTTTGTTGGCTCGCGGGCGGCCTTCCGAAGCGCACTTTACCCGCCCGCGTCGCCCGTGTTCGAGGGCGGGTCCTGCGCTTCCTGCCTCCGGGCGAATCACCTTTACGCCAGCGTCCCCGGAGTAGGTGCCTCTCCCTTACGCCAGCGCCCCTTTGCCGTGAAAAAAAAAAAAAAAAAAAAAAAAAAAAAAAAAAAAAAAATATATATATATATATATATATATATATATATATATATATATATATATATATATATATATATATATATATATATATATATATATATATATATATATATATATTGCTTACCAAGATGCTTAATTGAGTCTGTGGTGTGGTATCTGAATGTCTTTTATCTCTCTATTAATCAATCGCGGTCTTTCCCTGTTGGCCTGTGTAGTTTATACGTAGATCCACGTGCAGCTTCATTTGCTTGCGAATTGTTGATTTGAAGAGGCCTACACAGGAATTGCATGCAAATGCTTGAACTGTAGTGCGGGAGGAGAGTTGCCTGGCAGGAACAGAATTTCACACACACACACACACACACACACACACACACACACACACACACACACACACACATATATATATATATATATATATATATATATATATATATATATATATATACATATGTATATACATGTGTGTGTGTGTGTGTGTTAGGCAAACAGTATTATCATATCAAGCTCCGTCGACGGGACCTTGAAATTTCATAAGGTTTGTCCCCAAAATATCTCTGGCGCAGCAGCCACCCCCCGAGGATCTGATTTACTTCGAGATATTACGTGAGGAGCATGACGTCCCGGGCTTAATAAGGCTCGTGGGGGGGGGGGGGCGGGTTTAGTCCTCTGCCGAGTGTGCGAGGAAGGTACTTCGCTCATAGAAACGCGCGCGCGGCGTGGGTGTGTGTACATATATATATATATATATATATATATATATATATATATATATATATATATATATATATATATATATATATATATATATATATATATTTATATGTATATGCATATACACATATATATATATATATATATATATATATATATATATATATATATATATATATATATATATATATATATATATATATATATTTATATGTATATGCATATACACACACACACACATATATATATATATATATATATATATATATATATATATATATATATATATATATATATATATATATATATATATATATATATACATATATATATATATATATATATATATATATATATATATATATATATATATATATATATATATATATATATATATATATATATATATATATATATATATATATATATATATATATATATCAAACATTTGTGTGTACATGATTCCCTGTATCTCTAAATAAAGACAGTGGCTGCCTTACCTTTACGTCGAAAACTTCTGCCGTGAGGTCCGGAT